AGATTTAAGTACTTCGTACCACCCTCAAACGGATGGGCAGACGGAAAGAACAATCCAGACACTGGAAGACATGTTGCGCGCATGCGCCATAGATTTTGGTGGAAGCTGGGATATGCACCTTTCGTTAGTAGAATTTACATACAACAACAGCTACCATGCCAGTATTCAGTGTGTGCCTTATGAAGCATTATATGGACGCAAGTGCAGATCTCCACTTAGTTGGCTGGAGATTGGCGATCGACAATTAACTACACCTGATGTCATCCAGGAGACTACTGACAAGATAGTAATTATCAAGGATCGACTCAAGGCTGCAAGAAATCGCGAGAAAAGTTATGCTGATAATAGGAGGAGATCATTAGAATTTCAAAAAGGAGATAAAGTACTCTTAAAGGTCTCACCATGGAAGGGAATAATGCGCTTTGGGAAAAGGGGAAAATTGGGTTCCCGATATATTGGTCCATTTGAAGTATCTGAAAGAATAGGACCAGTGGCGTATAAGTTGAAACTGCCACAAGAGCTGCTCAGAAAATGCTTAACCGATGAAACACTGATCATACCATTGGGAGACGTACAAATTAATGATCATCTGCGCTTCATTGAAAAACCAATAGAAATCATGGATAGAAAAGTCAAGCAGTTGAGGCGTAGTAAAATCCCAATTGTAAAAGTTCATTGGACTTCAAGGCATGGACCGGAGTACACGTAGGAAGAAAGGATTATATAAAAAGCAAGTATCCCCACTTATTCTCAAAGTCATGATCCGGAATTGACGAATAAATTTCGGGACGAAATTTTCTAGCATGGAGAGACTGTGACATCCGTCATTTTTAAGCTTCCTTTATAGGGATTCTATATTTAGATTATTATTTTATTAGAATCTAGTCATGATGATTAAAATTCATCTGGCTTAGTTCCCAAATTATATGTTAAGAGAGCCTTGCTTCGTCGGTTAACTGATAAAGTTAACTTGTGTGATGCCAAATATATTAAAAATGTTCCAAATGAAATAAAGTTGATATTATTAACATCTAAATTAAAATACGAAAGTCTCATTTGAATGTCCAAATAATTTTATCAAAAGATGGAGCTTTGTGTTAATAATGTCATTTTTTTATATAATAATGTTTGGCAAATTGTATTTTGATTATAAATTAATTGGGCTTATTTATGTTTAAAAGAAAAATAAAAGCTTTTAGTGGGTTTGGGTTTTTAAATGCCAGCCCATTATCTTCTTCAAAATCCATATATAAATACCCCACATCCTTTGAAACTCTCATTTCCAATTTTCATTTTGCTTAAACCTTTCCCCCTCTCTAATCTCTCTCTCTCTCTCTAAATCAAACCCCCTCCAGCCGATTCCATCCTCAAGAACCTTTAGAAAATCTGTCAATCTTGAAGGATATTCAAGATTTCAAGAAAAAGGTATTATACTAGTTATCTTACCTATTTTAAATACCAAAAATTCCTACTTATTCTACTCCTACTTCTTGTTCTTGTAAATAAAGTTTCTGGGGATTTCAAAATGGGAGATTGTACATCCAAGACATGAAAATTTCTTCAAATGATGGCAATCTATGAACCACGAACTTTGAACTCTAAGAAAGTAGGAGAAAACCCAATGCATGTAGAATCTAATCATGAAAAAATGTATTTTGAAATCTGGCAGAATCTTGCATGCATCTCAAATCGGTTTTATCTCCCTCAAAACTCAGTGGAATTGGGTAATCCTTTTCTGGAGATTAGCCTTATTTGTTAGCTTAAAAATAGAGTTAAAAATCTTTGAAAAATGAAGAGTTCAGACCTCCCAAATGGCCGCCACTCGAAGAGTGTGCAATCTGTTTTGGGGGCTGTGTCACTCAAGGTTGTAGGGTATTAATGAGTGCCTTAAACCCATTCAAAACTCTTGATATTTGGGAAAAAGTCTGTCTAACTCATTATTTTGGATGATATAAAAAGTTGGACATAAAATGACTTTTGGAAGGTTCCTTTTTGCAATGATTGGTGAGACCAAAAATACCAAAAACAGAATTTATATTTTGTCCATATAGCAGCTTTTATGCAAAGGATATTGATTTTGAAATATATAATTTTTGGTCTATTTGCAGAACAATTAATAAAAGTATCAACTTTAATCCATAAAAACCGTTGGCATTACATAAGATATAATTTGACTATATCTTTATCGGGACTCGTTAAGTGATCTAGCTATTGGATTCAGACTGTTTAGGAAGGTTAGGGCGGACGTTGAGCGCTTCAAACGTCATCTCCTTGGATATTCATCATCAAACCAGTGAGTTTTCACGGCCCCGCTTTTAATGATTTTCTTTATTTAAATTGGGGGAAAAGCATGAAGTTATGCAAACTATACTGTTATTTATAAAACTGTTGGACTAAAGAACTGTTTAGTCAAAGATTGTTTATACCTGGACTAAAGAACTGTTTAGTCAAAGATTGTTATTACCTGGACTAAAGAACTGTTTAGTCAAAGATTGTTTATACCTGGACTAAAGAACTGTTTAGTCAAAGATTGTTTATACCTGGACTAAAGAACTGTTTAGTCAAAAATTTGTTTATGTCATGAAATATTGACTGTTTTGCACTATGATATAAATGCTAAATTGATGTACTTGGGAGTATGTTTCCAAATAAAGTCCCCATCCGTAAACGCTACTTGTTAACTCGGACATGTTCCCGGGCCGTGGTAATTGTGGATAGCCGCTATTGTGTTGACATTTGACTTTTCTTATTGGAGTTTGACTTTGACCTGTCTTTAATAGTTTGACCATATAAATAGAAGCTAGTCTTTGTAATTGTTGTAAGAGAGCTTCATTGTAATACTACGTACATAAATGAGAGGTTTGACCATATTGTAAGGATTGACTTTTTCTCTCTCAATGTTCTTCATGTTCTTACAAGCTATATCTGAGAATCTGCCATTGTTATGAAGTTTGAAGATTGATCAGTGAAATATAAGGACCATCAATCCCACCCAGAAAGGGGTGCACATTACCTATGTTTTCTTAGTCTAATCATGTGGAATTTGGACCACCGCTGAATGAGTACTACTACGAACCGTGGGACCTAAGTGAGTGTACGTGCTACTTATGGTCGTTCGTAAAATAATGGGGCACGTTGGTCAGGAAAGGCTCAGTAGCGTCTCAAGTTTTAAACATCGTGGTACATTTACATTTATTAAGTGCAAAAGATATGTATAGGTTTGCAAGAAATTATTTATCCATTGTAATGTTTTGTGCATATGAAAACCCGTGAGCTCACCAACTCTTTGTAGTTGACCTTGTTTTATGTTTCATACCTTTCAGGAAATAAGTAAGAAGTGAAGTTTTTGGGAACATACTTGTGGCGATACCGATTAAGTTCACATTTGAAGTTTTTGTAAAGAAGTATTTTATCCCAATTTGGTTATGGAAGTTAAACTTGATTTATTTTTGTGAAACTTGAATGGTGTTATTTATTATCTGCTGCTGTGACTCGCTTACCTGTTACACCTCATGTTTCCGCTTTAACGGGGTGTGACAATTTAGATAGCCGATTAACAGAAATGCTGAAGGTAGGCTATACAACAATGCCCTGAGTAAATGTGAAATTTGGGTTGGTTTGTAAGTTTTGTTCTTGAATACTAGCTTCTTACCATTGTGACACTGTCCTCCATAGTGGATTAGTTATCGGAGTTCTTTGCTCATGATTTTTCCCTTTTCAGGTACCACATGAAAATTCTAGTTTTACTCTCTATCATATTGCTTTACAATCATATTGTTTATGATATTTTATTGTTGATTGAGTTATGCCATGTTGACATTATAGTAAACCGATTTAGCATGTGTGTAGTTTTGATCTTAAGAAGATGAATGTTACTTTCACTTTTGAACTAAATTTCAATAATTTGAGTTAATTGTGTCCGTTCTCACAACAACTGGTATAAGAGCTTTGATGTGGATCGATCGGTATGACGTTGGCCAAGAAAATGAGAAAGAAGCAGATAGGACTGAGAAAGATGATTTTGGAGCAATTTTCAATATATTTTCCAAACATAAGGGTCTCTCCCTTTTAAAGAGAAACAAAGACACGTAAACCACTACTTCCTAAAATGGTGAAAACATGGAAACCTGGGCATCCCCACTATCTCCTTTATTCTAGCACAATCCTAACTTCTGCTGGGAAAGGGAAAACAAAAGCAACAATTAAAAAAACCAATAAACAATTAACCCATGTGAACAGTAGACTACTTCTCGCTGGGTTCTCCACGCATGGGTTGCATGGGCATGGACACGTAACAAACTTCCACTCTTTAATATTGAGATTTTGAATTTTAGGTTGGGGAATTGTTTGCTCGGTGAACCCAAATCTTGGCATCATTAAAATATGAGTTACCACTATTAGACTTAAATAGAAGATCTTGGTTATGGAAAATAAAGATGAGAAGTATTTTAATTCAGATGAATCTACGCATAAGTGTTTGTTGGGACGTGAAAATATGGTTGCAACTTGGGCCTGATTTGAGAGCCTTATTTCAGATAAGTTTCAGCCATTGAATGGTATTCTTTAGAATGTAGCAGAAAAAACTGCAACTAGTGTGTGGCTAAGTCTTGAACAACTGCTGATCGATAACAAATAATCTTCAGTCATTATGAGATAGAAGCTATATATATGTTGATATAAACTTGTTATTTAATTTATGCACGTGTGATTTCTTTTGTAGTTAAAAATGACCAGGTCATAGGGTTTTTCCTTATTTTAAGAGCAAGTGGAGAAGTGGGGTTTGTGACTGTTATGGGTCCTGTTTTTACCTTTTCAATTTGTGTGTTTGCCTATTTAAAGGCCTTTGCGTATTTGATAAAAATTGAATCTGGAGCTACATATTCTTCTTCATAGTCTCTATATACTATATTTTGTTTTTCTCTTGTCAGTCTTGTGTTTCTTTTCTTTTGTTAGTGGTATCAAAGCAAAAGACGGTACTCATGATAACTATGTACAATCAAATGGCCTCTAATAACTATGTGCAACCAACGATTCCACGTTTTGATGGTCACTATGACCATTGGAGTATGCTCATGGAGAACATCCTGAGATCCAAAGAGTATTGGAAGGTCATCAAATATGGTGTAGCAACACTAGGGGATACAATAGCTCTGACAGATGCACAACAAAAGGAACCAGAAGGTATGAAACTGAAGGACTTGAAAGCCAAGAACTATTTATTTCAAGCAATTGACCGATGTATCCTAGAAACTATTCTTAGGAAAGATAGTTCCAAGGATATATGGGATTCAATGAAGAGGAAATACCAGGGCTCTTCTAGAGTTAAGTGTGCTCAACTCCTAGCATTAAGGAGAGACTTTGAAGTTTTACAGATGAAGGAATGTGAAGCTGTTACCGACTATTGTGCAAGGGCCATGGGTATTTCCAAACACATGCATATCCATGGTGAAAAGATGAATGATACAACCATTATTGAAAAACTATTGCGCTCACTAACACCCAAGTTTGACTATGTGGTGTGTTCCATTGAAGAATCCAATGATCTAGATGAGTTGTCCTTTGATGAGCTTCAAAGCTCCTTGCTAGTTCATGAACAGAAGTTGAAGAGACGTTTTACGGTAGAAGAACAGGCCTTGAAAGCTTCTAGCACTTCCCACTTTAACAGAAGAGGAAGAGACAGAGGTCAAGTGAAAAGAGATTGTAACAGTTATGCTAACACTTTAATTGATCTTTTCCAGGAAAAGGAAGAGGTTGAGACCATGAAAAATCTAAGGTAGAATGCCTTAGATGTCACCGGTATGATCATTACGCCTCTGAATGATATACTAGGCTGCCTGACCATGACAAATCTAAGGTAGAATATCTTAGATGCCATCGATATGGTCATCGTGTTTTTGTATGTTATATTAAGTTGCCTAATTTCAAAATGAAAAGGGAGACCTCAAGTTTTTGGGAAGAAACAAAGGAATCAAAAACTTTGTTGATGGTTGTCCATGAAGGAAAGAAGAGTGAACCAGAAACCTGGTTCGTGGATATAGGCCGCAACAACCACACGAGTGGAAGTAAGTCTTCTTTCTTAAATTTGGATGAAAGTTTTCAGTCGACTGTTAGTTTTGGTGATTTATCAACTATAGCTGTGATCGGAAAAGGAGATATTAACATCAAAATCAATGGTGGCCTTGTGGAGACTGTTTCTGATTTAATGTATGTTCCGAGCCTGAAAATTAATTTGTTAAGTGCTGGTCAGTTGTAAGAAAAAGGATATGTTATTATCCTTCATAAAGAAGTTTGTGAAATATATGATCCTGCAAGGAGAAAGACAATTGAAACTATACACATGAGCTCTAACAAGTTAAATCCCATAAAACTTGAAAGCATTCAATAATGTTTGTTGGCGGAAGCAAAAAACTCTTCATGGTTGTGGTATTTTCGATACGGTTACCTAAGTTATGGAGGCTTGAAGACGTTGCATCAAAAGAACATGATGACAGGCCTTCCAAACATTGAAGCTCCTTCCAAAGGGTGTGAAGAATGTGTTTTTGGCAAACAACATCGGTCTGGGGAGGGCGATCCTTTCAGATCTTCGCGAATGACCGACCATCTACATATTTTCAATATTAATATTTATATAATCACATTCCCAAATATAAAAAAGTATCCAAGCACAAATATGTACCTTTAAATCCATAATTACATTGGCCAGTTGTAATTTGAATTTACCTTACTATCGTTCTCTTAACCCATCATATTTGTTCCAATGGTTCTCGTCATGTCAGGAACCCCTAATATGCAAATAATGTAGTTTAAGTCTAGGCATCATGATGAATATCTAAATCCCTTAAACTCAGGCTCTGATACCAACTTTGTAACACCCCAAGATCCACATTTGCATATAATCATGTATTTCATATAAAGAGAAACATTATAGTACACATTCGGTCCTTAAACCTTTAACTTGGCATTTCTTTAATTGTTCAAAGATATTTAGTATCAACTTGGCTCGTAATGCTCACACTCTGATTGTTCCTCCAATCTTTTTTTGACTTAAGGAATCAGCTACCACATTTGCCTTTCTTGGATGATACATAATCTCACAATAGTGGTCATTCAACAGTTCTAACCATCGTTTTTGTTTCATATTTAACTTTCATTGATTGAATACGTATTTCAGGCTCTTATGATCATAGAAAATCTGAAATTTGGTGCCATATAAATATTGCCACCAAATCTTCAAAGTGAAAGTAATTACCGCTAGTTCCATATCATGAGTAGCATATTACTTTTCATGATCTTTCAATTTTCGTGAAGCATATGCAATTAATTCTCTCGTTGTATTAATACACATTCTAAACTCAACTTTGATGCATCAGTTTATACTACAAAATCCTCTGAACCATCTAGTAGGGATAGAAACGATGCACTACACAACCTTTCTTTCAAAGTTCTAAAGGCTTCAACTTGTGCCTCTTTATATTCGTATTTTACATTGTTTTTGTTAAAGAAGTTACTAAAGTCTCTGTAAGAGAGAAATCTTATATGAACATACGGTAATAACTAGCCAATCAAAGGAAACTCCATACTTCGGTTGATAATCTTAGTGGTTCTCACTTTTCTATTACTTCAACTTTTAGATGGACCGACCTAGATACTGTCCTCTAGAAAGACCTCCAAGATATCCTAAACTATCGGTATGCTCACGAATATACACTTTTCCACCTTTACATCTTTTATATCTTCCATGAAACTCTAACATCCTTTCTTTACAAATCTTTGAGCCTTTAATATTGAAATCAAAACTGTTTGTTTGCAATAGATTACAACTGGTCCTTTTTTGGGTAAATCGATAGCATTAACTCTTTGTTTGCATACTATGTTAGAGTGATTGCTTGCTAGCCAATCCATTCTTAATATTACATCAAATTCCTTCAATGTTGTAGGGAACAACTGTAAAGGTACATCACACCGCTCTATACGTTGCTAACAGAAACTTCGTTGTCATTAGCGGTTTATACTACCGATGTATCATTGAAGTTATTAGGCTTTTCATGCAAGCACCTCACAAAGGAAGAATAGACATAAAATAATTTGCACCATAATCGAATAACACTCTGGCATATACTAAATTCACCAAAAATGTACCTGTTACCACATCCGACGTCCTCTCTGCCTCTACTATAATCATCAGGAACGCACATCCCTTTGCTTTAAATGGTTTGGATTTCTGAGTTTGCCCTCCCTGAAATAATTTGCTCCACGACCCTCAATTGCGGGCATTCAGGCTTGATGCGATCCGGTGAATTATAATGATAACAAAACCTCACTGCTCGACACTCATTTGCAATACGACCTAGTTTTCCACATTTGAAACAAGTCTTTATTTATATATTACATTCACTCTGGTGTATTCGATGACATTTGAGGCACAACCTTTCGCTTGATCTTAGATTTAGATAGTTATCAGATCTAGCAAATTTTGGTCTTCTCAAGTCATTTGATGGCTTGTCCCATTTGTGTTTTTTATTGCCTCATTCACAAAAATGAAGATTCTATCCATCTCTGTCATATACGTGACATCTACTGCAGATTGAAACATGAAGAAACTCAAAGCCATAACAAGATCCCGGACTGAAGCCTTCTATCCTCATATACCTTTCCATGATATATGCTTTCGTAGGGACATACAGTTCTTCAAAATGAGACTTCTCCAAAAATCTCAAGGTGTATTCTTGAACCATCATAATTTCTTCCTCTAGTCTCGGAAACTCCTTTTCTAACTATCTCACCATTGTCTTTGGATAGAACTACTATTTGAACTCTATTTTGAAATCCTTTCAAGTCATTTTCTTTGCATAATGAGATCACTCTGCAGTCATCAGGATGTCCCACCAAATAACTCTTGTAACTTGAACATAACTACAACAAAAATCACTAGGTCTTAAATCAAACACTTGTGGTATCAATATTTCCTTGATTTCTCGTGTTACCACACTATGTTAATTAGATCTCTGTCACCAAAATATGTTGGTGGTTTACATGAGAGAAACATTTTATAATCACATCCCTTCTAAACCATGGTAGGAGATGGTGTCAAGATCGGTCGACTATCCGAGGGAGTAGCCATTGGAATGTCAACAAAAACTCTAGGTTTTCTGTCTCGATCGTTCAATGATGCCCCGACAATGATTGTATTGTAATATGCAGTTTTCGTATTTCAAGGGCCAAATCATCACACATAACATGCACTAGGTTCTGAGCTCGACCACAACCCATAGATCGACCTCTACCTCTACCACTAGTAGACCTTCCACGTACTGAAGCTTTAGGCTTAATACGTAACCCTGTCTTATTCCTCTCTTCACCCACCGCCTCTTCCTCGACCTCGAGCCCTGGTAATTGTGGTTTCAATAATCTGTTCGGGTTGAAGAGATTCCCCTCCATAACCCATTCCCCTTCAATGGGCATTAGAAGATCTTACATATATGTTTTTAGCTGGAGGATCCACACCATCTAGGGTAACTGATGTGGTCCTCCCTCAACCCCGAGAATTGCTTACCATCCTATAATTCCACAATATAGATATATTGTAATCACAAAGCCAAGAATAATAAGGTATTTAAGCACAAACATGGACTTGTAAACTCATAAATGCATTAGTCAGATGTAATTTAAATCTACCATATATGCAGTCCTTTCTACCCCGTTATATCTATCACTCTGTTAGCCTTAAGCATGGTAGGAACATCATTAACCATGGAATTATTTTTTGATAATGGAATGACTATAACATATTTCAAAGTTGATGGGTTTCTTGGCAACTCCATTGGCCTATAAATAGCTATCAAGTTTATTCACATTTCATCCAACATAACCAACCTTCTCTTACATATTCTCTTTGTGACTTGTAAATCATGACTTCTGTTAGCATTCAGATTGAGGTTTCATCTACATTTCCTGCCAACAAGGTTTTTAAGGTGTTTAGTGATTTTGATAATATTGCACCCAAAGTGAATCATACAGTTTTCAAGTCTATCGAGACAGTCGAAGGCAATGGAGGTGTCGGAACCATAACGATCTTCACATTTGGAGATGGTAAGAAATTGTAACATTGCTTAATGATTCTGATTCATTATTTGACTGTTTTTAGTTACTTTTTTCCAATATGTTTCGTTTCTGAACATAAATTACTTTATACAGCTGTTCCATTCACAAGTGGAAAATACAAGGTTGATGCTATTGATACGAGCAACTTTAGCTACAACTACTCATTTTTCGAAGGTGATTGCTTGATGGGAATATTAGACTCCATCAATCATCATATTAAGGTYGTACCTACCGATGGAGGAAGCATATTCAAGCAAACCGTTATTTACAACTGCAAAGGTAGTGATAAGCCATCTGAAGATATTCTTAAGGCTGAAAAAGAAATATATGAGAAAACGTACAAAGCTATTGAGGCTCATGGTGCTGCCCATCCCGATACTTATTGATTTATTTTCATCAACATGTTTTTGATTCCGTTTATATTATGGTTTGAAATAATGGATAAAGATCCAATTATATAAACGTTGTAYCATGTTCTCATTTGATATGGTAAAAATAATAATTTTCTATAATTTATGATATGCTTATTTTCTTGGTCCATTGTTTCCTCAACTTTACTTTGTTGTCCACTGGGCATCATGAATGTGAACATATTTTACATTAATACGATGGTAAAAAATCACCCCTCTTGATTCTCGTTTTTCCACYAAACAAACTTACATTCAATCAATATTCTTAAAGCTCGTCCTGTGCGAAGAYACTTCATGGTGACAACGTACATCTTCCACGTTTCGTTAACACCCATTGCATTTGTTTCATCATGGGCACAACCACRTGGAGGCCATAGTRGGATTGTCCCCTAAACATGACGGAGTGTKCAATCCTAGCTAGTAGCCTAACCATTTTAGAGATCAAAGATTGAAGCTTCACTGAATATGAGGATTGTGTGTGCCTTCAATTAACCATGTATAAATATTACATACTTCAAAACAATGTTGGTGAGTGTTCTACATTGTATCGGCTTAATATTTGCATCGTTAAGAATCACATTATTATATTAATAGCCTATCAAGATGGACCTCGATGGATTAAGCATATTCAAACAAACCGTTATCTATAACTGTAAAGGTAGTGATAAGCCATCTGAAGACATTCTTAAGGCTGAAAAAGAGATATATGAGAAAACCTACAAGGCTATCGAAGCTTATGGTGTTGCCCATCCCGAATCTTATTGATTTATCTTCATCAACATGTTCTATTATGGTTACAAATTTCTATTATGGTTACAAATTTGTACGATAGTATGATGTTTTGCTTCCGTTTCTATTATGATTTGAAATAACGGATAAAGATACCCAACTTTTATGTGAATATCTTGAGTTACACAACTTTTTGGACCTTCTGAATGTAATATTCGGGTTTCAAGTTTTGATTTAAGATTTTATTTAACATATATATATATATATATATGTGTGTGTGTGTGTGTGTGTGTGTGTGTTATGTTTATGTGAATATCTTGAGATTTAATTTAAAAAAATAGAAAGAGGGGGGAGGTCGGCTGGTTGTGCCGCCCACCACCTTTCCTCAATACTATATATATAGAAAGTTGAGCTGATGAAAGGTTTTACACACACTGTATTTAGAAAGTTTTTTTTTTTGTGAATCATACGGATTGCAAGAAGAGGATTCAAAAGCTTGGATATTCGATTTMTAAAGGTGAGTGTATTAAAGCTTTGAGTATAAAGTTGTTTGCATAYAATTCAGTAGTTATTAGAACTGGTTATTTATGGTTTATAGTTCATATTGTGCGGATATTTCCTTAAACCGTCCATGTGATGACCGGATTGATATCCGGACAGTTTCATCCGGATCATAAACCACTCAAGTGTTGTCCGGGGTCCTCCCTAAACCGGTTAAGAGGTGACCGGATCTCGTCTAAACCGGTCAAGAGTTGGGCAGTGTATTGACCGAATTGTTTTAAACCGGTCAAAGGTTGGGCAATGTATTGTCCGAATTACTTTAAATCGGTTAAGTTGTGAGCGAAGTATTGTCCGAACTTGTAATCCGGACAAAGATATTGACTCAATTCTAAGTATTAAACCGGACAAAGCTTATACAAGGTGTTATCCGGATTGTTGACCGGAGATGATATAACCCTTTTGATATTCCAAGTGTTTGTCCGGATTCTATATCCGGACGAGGCTGACCGGACTTCAAATCCGGTTAATATGTTGAATCATTTTAGAGATATAATGGCGGTGTAACCGCGGGAGAGATGTAATGGCGGTGTAACCGCGAGTGAGATGTAATGGCGGTGTAACCGCGGGAGAGATGTAATGGCGGTGTAACCGCGGGAGAGATGTAATGGATGTGTAACCGCGGCAGAGATGTAATGGCGGTGTAACCACGAGAGAGATGTAATGGCGATGTAACCGCGAGAGACATAAATAAGTTTATGTGTTAGAACAGGTTTGATTCTGAACTGATTGTTTGGAAAGTATATTGTTTGTTTGAGAATTATACACTCACTAGACCTTTTGGGTCTAACGCTCAGTTGTTGGACTAACCTGTTTTGTAGGTCATCATACCTCGCAAGATAAAGGCAAGGGAAAAGTTTAGAATGAATRACTTTTAGTTATTCAAAATGTATTCCAAGAAAGTATTTTGTTAATCTGTATTTTGTAAACGATGTTATATTTTGTGTTATGAGTATGATGATGTGGATTATCGGTACATAGAATATGTGGGTTGTTACAGTTGGTATCAGAGCCTTAGTTTAAGGGATCTCGGTATTTGCGAAATACTTAGACTTAAACTAGAGATGTGGAAAGTTATGATAATAGGTTTCACTGGGTCTATGAATATGGGAATATGTTATAACTGAACCTATTATGAGAAAGATAGATTATATGACTGATATAATCTGAGTTATGAATAGACATGACGATAAATGTATTATTATATTATGATTATGAGAATAATCATGTGTGTTTAAATGTGACAGAAAAATCCATATACTGAGAAATGGCAGATAATCCCAATCAATCAAAAAGGACCTCTACTGGTTATGGAATAGGTCAGGGAAGAAGAAACGTAACACAAGGAGAGGACCCGGAAAATGTGATGAGGATAGAAACGCGAAGTCGTAGTAGGGATCAAGGAAGAGGTAGAGGTATTAGACAAGAACATGAACTATCGGCTCAAGAAAGTTCAATGTCTGGTCATGGAAGAGGAAGGGTAAGGGGTGGACACAATGTTCCTGATCCCAGGTTTATTACCCAAGAAATGTTGGCAGCAGAATTGGGAAAGTTCTAAGAAAGTTTGGTGAGTTTGTTGGGACGTACAACCCAAAATAATCCAGAAGTGGTAAGAAATCCTGATTATCAGGAGGAAG